TAAGCTAACAATTAATAATCAGCAAAAAAACTAGTTAACAAGAAATCGCAAAAAATAACAGTTAATATTTAAAGAAAACAAGCTAACAATTAATAACTAGCAAAAAAATAATAACTGTTACTAACTAACTAAAAATTAGCCGATAGAAATAATTGATCCCTTATAAACGTGCTTTTGTAATACATATTATTTTATTTCACATTCAAAATTATTATCTCTAACTATTTAACACAGTTTATTATAGTTAAGTAAACAACTTTTAAACAATTTTTTTTCATTGTGAACCGTCAAATTTCGAAATGGTTAAAAGTGTGCCGCCCCCCAAAAAAGGTTGAGAACCACTGTTGTAGAGATTTATTCTTAATACAGAGTATTTTTTAATATAAATATGTTTCTTTAAAGCTAAAAATGTGTACAAGTTGTAATTTTAAAAAAAAAAGATAATATTTTAATCTGGGAAGGGGGACAATATAACGTGTTTCTGAATTTTTTATATCTACACTTTTGTCAAAGTTAAGCTTTATTCATAAACTAATGATTAAGTAAGTAAAAACAGATGATCAACACACATGATAGCAGGTACTAGTGTTAAATCATAAACAAAACTGTTTGATAATTTTCAAATAAATGTACTTCTGTTCTAATGAAGGTGGTCTTAACATATATATAACAATACTTGATTAAATGGCATTGTATTATAAAATGATGAAATAAATGTTTTTTCTTTAGAATTATGTATATAACGTATAACAATAAATAAGAACAGTGCATTCTCATCTCATAAAAATATTTTCATGGATTCTAATAAGATAACTAAAAATTGATAAATCGCACTTAACTGTTTCAGTCTAAAAAACAATAGAGCTTATTTCGCAAAATAAAATCATAATAGGTGTTTTCAGTAGGGCACATGATTTCTGAGGTAGGATAACAATTAACAGTACATTCCCAAATATCCAAGATTTGGGTGACACAAATTTCTGAACATAATGAAAAGAGTGCATTAAGTCATTTTCATTTACAGCTAGGAACATTTTTCTATTTATTTATAATAAGGGTTAATTTTTATATATTTATAATGGGTTTTTAGTTTTCCGAAGCATTTAGATAGTTTCTTCACTCCTTCATAGAAATATTATTAGCTGTTTTTGTTTCTCCACGCCAATGCACAATTTTTTTCATTTAGAATTGAACATGCAAAATTTTATAAGATTCTGAACAGCTGAACACAGGCGTAATTATAATAACCGAAAAAGGCAGACTAATATTCCTAATCAATACATATTCATCCTGGTAGAAAATACAACCTTTGAAACTTAAGTAGTATGCAACTTAACATAGTATTGCTTAAAATATCAAAATGACAGGGAGAAATCAAAATGACAGAAACTATATTGCATAATCTATGGTCAACATATCTAACTGATTTAAACTAAGTAAAAGAAAAGATTATTGGGGTAACACGGGTTCAAACGACACAGGCTGAGCTGAAGAAGACAAAAACCGTAAGTTTGACTTCTTATTAGCTACTATAACACTGAAACGTATAACTATCTTTAATAGCTTTTGCAGCTGCAATTCCTTCTTTCTGAAAATTGATTTTTCTACACTCCTTATCCTTAAATAGGTATTGCATATTTAGCTGCAAATATTAATCATAAATAAAATTTAAAAAGCTTATTTCATTGTCGGTTTCTTTTCTATAAAATTTAACCCTGTGCTTAAAAACTAAAATAAATAAACAAATAAAAATTATGATTCCCAAATCATGTAAAACTTTATGTACATTAACAGCCATACTTTCGATATTATTTAGACAGGAAAAAGATTTCTGTTTATTAAAATATATTTATGTATCATAAACTTTTTCACATTATAAATGTTTGAATTATATAGACTAGATATTCTCCTATTAACATTTAAGTAATTGTTTGCAATATAGTTTTAATTCATACTTAAACCTTAATACATTGAACCCAAACTTTTTCTCAATCGATTAGAGTTATTTTTTCTGCAAAACACACATAACTCAACAAATGGGAAAGTGGTGTACAAAGGATAAATTCCAAATAAACTAAAACATATGCTCTTTGAGTAAACAGAAAACAACTAGAATTAATAAAAAAAAAGAAATTCAAAATTGCCTTTGAAACTAAGTAAAAATGGAATTAAAAATAGCTATTTTTGAAAACAAATAGCCTTAGATATTTATACATAAAACTTCTAAAAGCGGCATCAGCGAATGATTTTTCCATAAACAACTGATATTTTTCAACTTACAATCTAATGTAAGAACTTTTACTCAAATATCCTAATTCAATAAAAAACAAGCTGTCACAGTTAAACAACAGAGCAGTTAGCACAAAATAAAAATAAGTTAATGGAACTTGTTTCTTTTTATAAAAAAAAAATACACATTTTCTGCATCAATTTAATATTTTTCTTAACCATTTTTTTAATTTGACATTGTTGCAAGTTCAGGAAACACTTGTTCAGAATTTATCTGAAAGCAATGATGGCTTTCAAATGAATTTTTTATTTAAATTTTTCTATATATGAATATTTTTAAAGTCTTAATAGTAAATATATGATATTAAGACTAATATCTTAGTCTTAATATAAAATATATAATAATGAAGAAAATAACATCGAAAGCACAAACAAAGAAGTTATAACAGATTATACCATTTTGGTTCTATAAGCAAAAGTCATTATCAGCATTAAGATATAGAATGTAATACATACTTCTATTAAGAAATGTTGAATAATATTTTATAATATTATTCTGCAAAGTTGATGAAACTTCAATGCCAAAATATGTTAGACTTTTTATATTCTTTATTTGCACTTTAGACATTTTTTACACTATCATACACCAATATACAGATAATTCTGCTTTCTTTAAATAAGACATTTCATTATTTACTTTTTTTTAAAAAATTAAAGCTTGATAATTTTAAGAATTGAAGAATAAAGAGGATTCACTGCTTATTTGATTTAAAAAACAATGTTTATTGGAATAAAAAAATTTAAAAAAGTAAAATTTGAAGAACAAAAAAAGTACAGTACAGAACTATTATCCGGAAATCAGAATGATATTCGATAAATTTTCCGCCAATTTTTTAAAAAAAAAAAATTTTTTTTCCCTCATAAATTTTTTTAAGATATAAGATATTTTTCTTTCTTTTTTGAAAGATGTTTACCTTACCATCCTTTTGGAAATAATCATTAGTGTATCGTTATTTCTTCTTTTTAAAGTTTTTTTGTAGCGATTCAGAAAAGAGGAAAAATCAGTTATCCGGAATAGTGATGGTCTCGATCGTTCCGGATAATTGGTTCCCTACCAGTACTGAACTCGTTATCCGGAAATCTGAAAACCGGAATGAAATTCGATACATTTTCCCGCCATTTTTAAAAAAAACTTTTTTTCCACATAAGATTTTAGGATTTTTCTTTCTTTTTTGAAAGATGTTTACCTTACCATCATTTTGGAAATAATCATTAGTGCATCGTTTTTTCTTCTTTTCAAGATTATTTCCAAATATTTGTCTCTTTTTAGTTGGGTTTAGCAATAAAAAAAAAAGGCTTTTTGTAGCGATTTAGAAAAGCGGAAAAATCAGTTATCCGGAATAGCGATGGTCCCGATCGTTCCGGATAATCGGTTCCCTACTGTATTTCTGTTGACTGGTAAGGGTACGGTGATTAATGACTTGAGACATACGTAATTTATAAAGACAATATGGAAGAATAGATAGTAAGTTATAGCTTAGGAACCCTACAATCTAGACTTTAAATACTTAATATTTATGTACTGGATTATTATGTAGTTCATATTTATTGTTTTAGGCATCAAAATAATAATTTTCACACCACTGAAGATATAAAAATGCTAAGATCACAAACAATATTATTTCTACGATATTAATAATATTTGCATAGTCTAATCTTCTTAACATGAACAATATGAGTTGATTCCAAGTATTTTTCCTTCTTAAATAAATGCAAAAATGATTCATTCTTAATGTTCAACAATATCATACTCTGCCTCACAAATTAAGAGTCAGAGTATAATATCTAAGCATTTTTTCTTTTATATCACCTTCACATAGACAGGGAACATTCTTTAAGATAAAAAAAAAAAATTAAGATTAAATAAATAATAAGGAAATCCTTATAACAATTAAGCTTTGTAAGCGATTCCTGAGACTGAGGAGCATAATTATATAACATTGCACAGCAACTACTTATAAGTGTAAACTAATACATGCTTACAACTGCAAAAAAACTCCTAATTAAAATAATTTTCATGCAATTCCAGCAAAAATAAAAGTCTTGATATTAATAAACATATCTCTAATAAAATATATAAATCAAAGTATAACTATTAAAATAAGCATAACACAAAATTAAAGTACATCTAAATAAATAACAAATCTATTTCGAAAATGGTTATTGTACAATGAAAAGAAAATAAGGAGAAAAAAATGAAATATCTATAGGTGAAAAAAAAAACATAAAATAATCTACTGAACAAAAATCTTGAGCAATGTTATCACTGAGCATCATGATGGTAAATAATACGCCCTCTATCCCCCAGTGTCAACATTCAATTCAGTAATGGTATTCAAAGAAACCTGTGTAAAAATCAAAAATAATAAAATTAAAAAAAATGCCTAAAAACATTGATAATTTGAGTCACATTAAGATTTAAAAAAATAAGTAAATGTATTAGTTATAGGACATAAAATTATAAATATTATTCCAAGAAAGAAATAAAAATGGTTATTGTTCAGTTCAAACCATTCATTTTAGACTAAAGAAGTTTTTTACAATGACACGTAATATTTAGTTTATAAGATTTAATTACAATTGCAGCAGAATTTTTTGAAATACAATGCCTAACAAATATAGAATTGAAAAGAGAAAATAAAATCAATCAATCATTAAAAATAGCAAAATTTAATGAAAGAGTTATCAAAATTAAATCTATGGCACAAAATACATAAAAATGATGATAAGCAAATTTAACTTTAAAAAACAATTACAATAACAAAACAAAGACAATTTTAACTTTAAAAAAATACTTCATAAAAACACCGATACATATTTAAGACAATAAAAGTAATCAAACTGTTTGGAGAAGGAAGTTTTACATAAATAGTTCTTTAGACCATAAAATTTTACCTTGCATGTACAAAAAAAAATCTTAAGATACAAATAAATACAAAAAGGTCAATTCCAAATAAAAGGCAACCTCTATTAAAGAGAGAATTTTGTTGATTCCAGTCCCTTTGAAGAGGAGCCTTTGTCTGCATTTTAATAAGACACACTTTATTTAAAGGACATAACGAAAATTCTCAAAAAATAAGATAGTGCAAATACTCTTGGATGATTGCTGTACCTGGTGGGGGCAATATACTGTATAAAAAAAAAACATGCATTGCTGCAATTGAAAGGAGTTATGTTCAAAAAAGTTTTGCACATTAGGAGAAGAGGGTAAAGATGTCTGATTGCGCAGAAACAGTGATCAATGACTGGACCACCCAAAGGTAATAATGGATCAAAGAGTGAAAATTTGATATTTTTAGTTTTTGCTACGGCTCTTCGGTGTTGCGAGGAAAAAGATATTTTTATACTTAAGTGTTATGTTGTCACCAGTCATGGCTTCAAAGAAAGAAAAAAAAGATAAACATTAAAAGTTAAAGTTGGCTTTATTAGTGTAGCACAAATTAAAAAAACTAAGAGATTTAAGGTAGAGTTTGAGAGATTAAGAGCAGGTGCACTAATGGATAGAGAAGAACTAACTAACATGTATTAATAATTTAAATTATCACTCTAAAACTGTTTAATTAATGATTTTTGTTCTGTAAGAGCAAAAGCAATAAATAATTTATGTAAGTGAAATATCATCACTTGATAAAGTAAATGCAGTTTCTGAAAGTTTGAAGCTACAGGACTTCAAAGCATCAAATGGTTGTTTTTGTAATGCACTATTTTTAAGGCTATTTGTGAAAAGAATAATCAGTAGGTATGACACATGTAGCATCATCTACAGTAGGGTTTCCAAACAGTAGCCCATAAAAGCCTTGGGGGTCTGTTAAGCCTAATTTGGTGATTTAAAACAAACTTCAAAAAAATTGTAATGTGTGTGTATTGTATTGTGTTTCGAATAGTGATCGGTAAGTTTTCAACAAACAGAATATTTTAGTTTTAGAGTAAATGCCAATTACATAAGTTTATTTTAACAGTTTGTTTTCCAATCATATATAAAAGTTATTTACAAAAAATTGTAAAATGAAGCCTAATACGTTTTGTTTCAATAATATAGCACAATATGTAATAAAAAGTATTTATGGCATACTATTTATTTCTCAAGTCTTTTTGATAAAATTGATAAGAGCTCTGCATTTATAAAAATATTTACTATGCCACAATACAGAAAAGCTCAATTGTATTTTTATCATTGAATATAATTTTACATTTTTATTTGTTTTAGGCATCCGAGTAAATGAGTGAAGTGAAGAACTTTAAATGATTTAAAGTAATTTTTAAAAATATTTCATTAATATTATTAATCAAGTTAACAAATATAAATATTTTCTATTTTACTATCCATTAGTGATACATAGCTAACAACAAAGTGAATATATAGCTTATAAATAATCACTGTCATAACATCATAAATTAAAACCCAAATCCGTAGCAAGTGTTCCCATAAGTCAAATGTTTTGACAAACTATTTAATGAGATTTTTGTATAACACTAACTACTACTTGAGGTAAAGAGAAACCCAGGCATAGGAACTCTAATCCACGATAAGCACTGGTAATATTTTAAGTCAACAAGCTTTTTACATAATGCTTAGCAATGCCAAACATTTGAAAGAATTTGCTCCTTAGATTAGTACTTAATTGGACAGAACTAACATCTTTAAATAATCCTTTTTTAAAAATTTAACAGAAAAACTATGTTTAATGTGATAGACAAGAGTGAAACATTTTTTTTTAATCTCAGCTTTTTTTTAAAAATAATGTTATTTAAACAATGCAATTATTTCTTAAGATTTCTATTGCAATTCAATATGATAACCTACACAACATGGAATGTTAAAAATTCATGACAAAATTTACCTTTTACAAGATAACACTCAACACATAGAAAAAGCTTACACTTTAAAACAGTTTCTGACACTCCTTAAAATGTAAAGAACAACTAAGTACATAAGTAGAACCTTCAACATCAAGCTTATCTAGACAACTTCAAAAGAACATTTCGATGTTGAATTTCTTAGCTTTACTTTAAAGAACAAAACTGCATTTGAACTATCATAATTAAAAAATCTTCCATAGATTCTATCCCAAAAAAGTGTAAACACATCACTTTAAATCAAAACTAGTTTTATAAAATTGGATCCAACAAGCATTACATACTGGAATTTTAGTCATAAAAATAAAATATGAGCCTAAATTTAATTACATTTCTTCACTTGAAGAATATTCAGTAGGCAAACACACTGGGTGGATCGGGGTTTTCAACTCCATCATGGAGCCAGGTCAAGCAGTTTTGTATTCGTTTTCAAACAGTTCTGTACTATAATGAAATCTAGGGTCCTCGGCACTAGGGTCCAAGGATATCCTTCGCATTCACTTTACCTGCAATTAAAACTGTTTTGCACATAAAAGAATGCATGAGGAATTTTTTATGCTTCTAGGGCTGCCAACTTTCAAGACATACATTCTTGTAGTTAAAAAGAATTTTCCATAGTTTCATCTTTGAAAAAATCAAATTACATTATAATTTTGGAAAAATCAGGAGCATTAATCTCTTACCTATGTGCAATGCAAATGCTCGAATTTTGGAATGCCCAACCTGAGTTTCGGCAAGAGAAAAATCAGTGCTTCAATTCCACGAAGCCTGAACTCAGTTCGTACAATGTGATTCACGATTTTCATAATAGATGGCGATGCCTGCTTTTAAATTTCCTCACAAAAAGTTCGGCAGTTTCACGCCATTCGTCAGATTTTTTGTAATTTTGCAATTCAAAGGAATCTGAGGGGCATGGTACTAATGATAGTTGATATAAATAATAATATTGTTGTATTAGTTTATGATATTTATCTTGAAAATTATGTCAATTGATTTATTTTGTTATAATTCGAGCAAAAATTACTGTAATCTATTAACATTTCCCATAAATGTGAAAATATTAAATATAGTAGTTATTTCATTAAATGTATTTTAAAAATAATCTATTTCTAACATTTTGATGATAATATCAAGCAAAATTAAAGAGAAATTTTTTCTCCATTTTTGGTACATTTTTCTTAAATATATTCCACAGGATGGGGATAAATCTACCTTTGTGTGCAGTGAGATGCATAATAATTATTATTTTTAAATAATAATTAGAATATAATTGTAGTTCTTAGTTTATGATAATTGTAAAATGGATAGATAAGTTTTGATCAGTTATATCATGAGTTGATGTCATGAGTTGATAGCATGATTTCAATTCTTGAAATATCATGAGTAATATAACTAGTTATATAAGAAACAAGTATCGATACAGAACAATAACATTTTCTCTTATAAAATTTTTAATTAATTACCATTACGAAGTTCTGCATGCATTCAGCTAATCACATTCTAAATTTACCACGAATGGACCACACTTACAAAGACTTAATTTATGTTGATAGCACCTTACGTGCATAATTATAACAAAAATATAATTTATAAAGATTCTATATTTTTAATTAGGTATTGACCAAATACTGTAGTGGTATTGGGGTTCAAATCCCAGTAACAGCTTGAAGCCCACTCAGCTTCAAATCAATGGGTAACAGCTTTTGTGGGAAGTAAAAGCAATCTACATTGTCCAAAGATGTGGAGCCTTAATCTCCACGACCCCCTGGCCTAAAACGAACTGTAGTGGTAACTTAAGGGTAATAAAGGGGGTAATTAGCAATACTTTTAATATAGATGTGAAGAGCCATGGTGGCTCAGGGGATAAAGCACTCCCCTCTTAATCAGGTGATCCAAGTTCGAATTCCAGCAATGGCTGGTGGATACGAATTCTGCACCGACCACAGTGCAGACATAAAATATCCTCAGTGGTAGACGGAACATGGATTAGAGTCCCCCTGCCATCATGCTAACCACGGCAAGATTACCTCTCCATTTAATGCATATGTGGGTTAGTTTCACCAAAAAGTTCTTCACAACAGCAAACTTTTTCTCAATTCAGTATGGGATCCCTAATCTAGTATTCCAAAATTCGACACTTAATCTGATTTTTTTTTTTAAAGAAACTTTTATTCATAAGAGAAAAAAAAATCAGTTACATTCTCTTTTTATTTGGAATTTTAATCTGTTGAAGTACGAAACTTTATTTTATCTTTTAAAAATAAAAGCAGGAAGAAAAAAAATCTGTGTCAAAGGAAACATATGTTTCTAAAACAGTTTAAAATAAAGTGAAAGGGCAAAGTAAAAACACCTGCATTTCAAATGAACAAAATATAGAAATGCAAGTTGGAAGAAACTGATCAATCCATCTTTGACAGCTGTGCAAGTGCTCTACTGGCTTATCCCCACATTTCCCTCTCCAGTTTGACCATAAATTAGCCACACCCTTTGGACATTGAAACTACCATGTGGGGGTGGGGTACAAAATTAATTCTCTCTCTTTCATGGCTTTCTTTTCTTTTTTTTTTTTTGATGTAAATTATACATTTGTTTTTTTATTAGTTGCTAACTGTTAATTTTTCTTTGGTTAATTGATATCTTGCTTTTTTTTAAATTGTATTTATTGTTAGCTTGTTTTTTTTTATCGTATTTAGTTGTTAGCTTGTTTTTTTCTATCATATTTAACAGTTAGCTTATAAAAAATATATATTGTAATTTCTATTATACACATAATTATTTTAATTAATGAAATTTCTTAAGATGGGAGAGTTTTAAATTCACCCCATCATAATCTACGATGAAATCTTAACTAAATTTGTTGCAATTAATTCATTTTCTTGAAATTAACAGTATAATTGAATTATCGTAATACATGGGCGCCATATTGGAATTTCCGAAAGAGATCCGAAATTTGGCAAATTCCGAAATACGGAATTTCGTCGGTCCTGTGAGTGCCGGATTTAGGGTCCTATACTGCACTTGATATAGGAGTTCCCTAGTCTTCTGGTTTTGATTCAAAATTACAAGGCCAAAGAGTTGAACATTGGAAGTCGTAAACATAAATTGGGTAGGTTGTTCAATGACGGTTATAAAATAAAATATAAATGAAGAAAAATATGGTTTAAATTGTATCGGTTTTACAAGTTTTTGTGCCAATATTAAACATACATACTGACCAGAAAACAATGTATCAAATATGAATGGTTCAAAAATTTATCAAATAAAAAATCAATCTGTATGCAACAATAGAATATAAGCAATGAATTCTAGAATAAAAAATTTGGAATTTGGAACTTATTATGTTAATAACAATATTTAAAACACAAGTTGCAATTTTGTGTAACTAAAGAAAATACATAAAGAGTTGACAGCCCTGTGCTTGTAATAAAAGTGTATAATACTGCAATTGTAGTAAATCTTATAAGTGTAAGAAGACATCGGCTATCAATAAGAATTAAAAATTTTGTAAAATTATTTTTGTATAACCATTTTCCCATGTAATATTTATGTTAAAATTTTATATAAAAGACATGATATTTTTTACAGAACATATGTAAATTAAAAATAGCATCAAGAAAAACAATAAACAATTTTCTACATACACATGATTATTGCATACTATGTTAGCAATTCACTGTTAATTGCAAAAAAATTTTTCAAATTTTTTTGGAAATTAAGGAATTTTATTTTGATTGGCAACAATAGAAAATTGTCAAAACTTTGAAAACAAGTTATAGCATAAAATATTATGCTCAAATTTAAGTTGCGTATCTTAGATTATAGGTTGCAAATGCCCAATAAAAATGTAAACATTAAAAAAAAAATGAAACTTAAGTTTGACAAATTATTGCATACTATGCAATAAATATCTTTAATCTAAATTAAGCTGAATAAATTTTGCAAATTAGAAATGATATAAATATAAAAAGATTTGTAAAAGAGAACTTATTTGATTTAAAAATAAAATATACGTAATAAATAAAAAAATCTTACCTGTACAACATCGAAGACTACAAAACAACATCACAGGCTAAAAGCAAAGATATAAAAAGTAAGACGGTATTTCCTATACTATTACACAGTAAAACAAAAAAGAAAGAATTATATGGACTACTTAAAGAAAACAATAGGATAGTTATGAAAATTATAACCATCCTGAATAACTTTTGGTCGAATAATCGGATCTTCACTTTCTAGGATTCAAACTTATCGGTTCGAGGGAGTGACCTCAAATATGCTAGTTAATTAGTGCAGATATTTTAATTTACGAAATCAGACACAAAAACATACTTTTTCTGAATAAACATACTTTCTTTCAACAGATTTGAAAAATCTAGTTTCAAAGAAGGCCAGGGTGGACAGCACTAATTAATTATCATATTTGAGGTGAACCATAAGTGAACCCTACTCAAGAAAATCAGATCATTAGATCAAAATTTAATTAAGGTGGTCCTTTTTTTTGGTGCATAACACATCTGAAATTTTATGTCTTTGGAAAAAAATGTCAAAAAGTTTATCATGAACGTTTAAATATTTTCTCAACAATTCTTTTTATGGCTGGGTATGGCTCAGGAAATCGAGAACTCGTTAGAATTTCAACTACATCTGGTTTATTCATTTACTTAAAAATTAAAACAAAAAAATTATAATTAAGGCAAACGATAACTACAATTCCTTTTAAGACCCACATGACAGTTAATTAAACAGTTTATATTAAATTATTTTAATCACCTAATTACTAAATAGACAGATTTTTTGATTATTTGGTGTAAAGGAAAAACTAATTGCAATATCATTTTTAGCAGCCATGCACTATTTTGACTGAGGATTAAAAAAAACAACAGACCTTTTTCAAAATTTCAAATTAGTTTCAAAATTATTACATTTTAAAATTATTTATATATATTTATAACATTTCGAAAGGTTAACAAAATATACATACTTTTTAACTTTTCGAAGGATATATAGTCACATATTTTGTGATAACTAAAAAAATTCTATGAATTATTTTAATATTGAATTATTTTGTTTATATTTGTATGTTATTTTGTTAATATTTCTATGAATTAGTTTGTTAATATTTGTATAGACTGATATCACTAGTTCTTGGATTGAACTTTACTTTCTACAATCATAGTTTCCTTTTCTTTTAAGTAGTATGCATGTGATGTCAGACTATCTCTTCCTACGCCTTCCTATAATTTTGTACTTCTGAAATTTAATGCTGAGAAAAATTTAGAAAATAAATGAAAGAGAACAAAATTAAAGTATTACTTTCTCCATTTTCGGTTTCTAATTAATATATCTGCTACTCAAATAAGAGTTCTGATTGGGAAGCAATTAGAAAAGAAAAAAAAATATTCAAGCAATTCCAAGAAAAGGGAGTAACAGAGAGTAAGAAGTATAGTGTCTAATACAATTCAAATCAGAGAACATTAATTTTTAAGCTATTATGTTTTTGTTTTTTTTTGGATCCATATAATTTAGTTTAGTAAATATTATTTGTAGAAGAATTATAATTTTTTTGCAGTCACATGCTTTTGCGCATGAAAGATGAACAATACATTTTACTTTGTTAAAATTTCTGATTAATTTTGGATTATTTAAAAATTTTAAGTTGCATATTTGTACTAACTGATATCAATCCACTTTATTAACTTGACTTTTAGTTGTTCTAATGGTAATCTGTCCCATAGTCAGTCGGATAGATTAAAATAGTGAACAAAGCAAACTAAAAAGACCTACACAAGCAGTTCCAAGGATTGGAAAGTGATAGCGAGAAAAAGATGTAACCTTTACTATAATTTAAATAAACTGAACTGTTCTGAACTAAATCAACTGAAATGAACTGTGTTAGAAGTTCTCAGAGTTGGTAAGCAGGGGATTCAATGGCAAATAATTATTTTCAATTCCATGTTTTGGCGCTATATGTTTAAAATAACAAGAAAACACAAAATTAACTGTACATCAGATTATAATAGATTATAACTTTATACCTTATGATCTCCCATAGCAACATCTTCTCCAATAAGTTGATAAAAGAAAGGTGAATAACCAGTGCTATGAGATGACTAAAAAATAAATAAATAATTAACAAACTTAGACATAAAGTTCAAATATAAATGTGCTTTTTATTAATAACAGTAATGCAGGTCAATACAGATTCATCATCATATCTGGCTACACAGCCCAGGGTGGGCCAGTGCCTTCCTTTGAATTCGAATTCACTTCTCTCTACTTTTGACACTTGTTCGCCAGTTTTTCTCCTTTAGAGTAAGGAAATCAGTCTCAACTAAATCCAGCCATCTCAGCCTGGGTCTACCTCTTTTCCTGTTCGTTAGGGGTTTGTGTAATAGGATTTTCTTTAAATTTGAGTCATCATTCCTTCTGAAAATGTGAGCTGCCCAGTTCATTCGATTTATTTTAATGAATTTCACAATATCTGGCTCTCTGTAGATTTTATACAGTTCAGTATTATATCGTCTTACAGATTAACATTAATTATTAACAAGCAAGAAAAGAAATGACTCCATTTTTCTTTTTGTATGTCTGTGTAAATAATGGTATTACCTCCTGAAAAGCTAACTATAATATACAGTTTTTTTTTATTGAAACAAACAGCAGTTTTCTCTGTTTTAAGTTAAAAACTGTGTGTTAAATGTCCTTTCGACAGTTCAGTCCTTTGGTAGAGCTTTTTAAATCCAACACTGTGTTTATGTACCTAAATTATGTTTATATAGCAACATAAAATTTTTAAGTAAAATAGTCTCTTAGTTATTCAATTGAGTTTAATAAAAAAATTCATTCACCCAAGATACAAAAACAAGGATAATATTAAAATTAACAAAACACTTTTGAGATTAAGCCATCAACATTTTTTTTTCTATTTATGTTATGTTTTTTCCTTTTAATCTCATATAGTAATAATTCATACTACACCATCAAAATATTTGAGATATCTTAATTAGTGCAGAATTTTTAACAAATTGCTTTCTAATGTGAAAGCACATAAAGGTAATAAATTAATTAAAAATACAATCATCAGAAATTCAGCACATTTTGTCCAAAAATACGATTTTCAAAATTCTACTTAATGTTCACATGAACTTGAGTAAATAATTATTTAGTATACATTGAATATAAAAAATAGTTTTTGTTACCATATGAACAAGGGACAAAGCACTTCTGCTCAGAAATATTCTGTCACACCAAGAAGGACATCTTGTTTTCATGTAAGTTTTACCACACAAATCTTCTGTGAAAGGGTAGCTGGGAGAAAAATGCTAAATTTAACATTATCATAAAAACAAATTGATAAAACAAATACAAAGTTTTATAAATTGAAAAGCACAATGCTGGCAAAACAGCATAGGCTAAAAGACATTATAAAAAGCTTTATTTTATAAACTCATGAAAGGCACAAATGGCTGGAAAAAAATAACTATTACATCCCTCTCTGAAAGAAACAAAGTTGTTTAGTAATAAAATTTAAGTATAGAAAGAGAGTATATCAATTCATTATTAAAAGTTTATTTAGAATTCTATGAGACGTTAAAGTATTAGCATTAAAAACAAATATAGACCATTAAAATATGGTACCTTGGAGGGAATGAAATGTCAAATTCAAACAATTGCTCTTCAAATACTTTGGGCTCTCTATCATACTCCTGTAACTAATATATAACACAGATTAAAAAACGTAACATTATTAATAGTACTAATTAAAGTACTATTAAAAAACTATGACATTAAAAATATTTCAAATCAAGTTAAATCAGTCTAATTTTTAAAATTATATCTTAATTTTTTAACAAACAAGTTAAATTTAAGTTAAACTACATGTTTTAATCAAAACAAAACTAAGATAAACTCTACAGAGGCAAATACCATAAATACAGGGTGGCTACTAAAACCTGACTTAACTGAAAACAATTCAAATTTTTTTGAAACACAATCATTTAGTTATTTTTGCAATAGTATACTGTCATAATCCAGTTCTATTAGAATCTCTTTTTACATGTAATTGCTGGAAGAAGAAATTAGTTGAATTTTTTTTTCACATTGCTTGCTTTTTTTATCACTTAATATGCTTCTTTTGTCTTTTTTTTTTGTACATAGAAGGAAAAAAGAAAAAAAATGTATTTTTAAAGACAAAAATAAAATGCATAAAATTTAAAGAGAGAATTTTTTTTTATCTAGAATCTTTTTTTTTCTTGTCAACACAGTTAAGAATTAAAAAATATACCGAAAAAAAAAACATATTCCTCTTTTTTCCAATTTGGGAATAGCAATCTCATTTAAAAAATAAAAAAAAGTATTTTAAAAATCGTTAAATTTATGGCAATAACTGAAAAAAGGAGCCAACTAAATGTACATTTTCAGATTCATGTGTTATAATTAATAATGCTGTATTAAAAATATATTGAGATTTTAAAAAAATATACGAAAATCATTAGTGATAAATGCTGAAAAATGTATTGAAAAAAAAAGTATAGAATTATCATGTCAAATAATGAACACTGAGGTACGAGAATTGAATTTCCTGTAAATAACAATATCTGCATTTTAAAATATCATGTGAAAATAAACAACAATAACAGGAAAAGAATATAAACTGAAAAGCGTGTGAAAAAGTATTTACTAAAAATGTGCAATTCGAATTTATTGTTTCTTAAAAATATCAGAATTAAAAGAAACCATGTGGATATCAGCAATAATAGATAAAATGTTGATCAGACCTGCGACCAATAAATGCACAGATTGAATTTTGCGTGTTGTAATAGTATTGCATAAAAATATATAGATTCTAAACGAAACACTGCATGGATTTACAACACAATAGACGTAAATTGAGCCCATCGTAATAAATATCATAATTTTAAAAACCATGAGAGAATCAATAGCGTTAACTGCAAAAGAAAAAATATATTGAAACACAAATTTAAGATGGTATAAAGTGTCTTAAAAAAATGATTACTGAAATGCGCATTTTGAAATTTCCATGTCGTAAAATTACATTAAAAATGAATTAGATCTAACTGTAGCAAGACTAAAAAGAGGGTAACTATGTCACATTGATTAAAAAAATTTTTGGTTACAAATCAAAATTTGCAACAAAATTGCTACTCATTTAAATACAAGTTTAAAAAAAATGAGAAAAATACCATTTTTCTGGCAATTGATCTTTTAAAATGTTTGCCATTTTGAGATAACTTTCTAGATAATCAATTTTATACTTTTCTGTTTCTTGTTCTCTAAGTTTATCCTAAGTTATGTTTTTCTTTGCCAATTCTGCATTAAGAATTCATGGGGTGTGAATGAGAAGTTAGGAAGGAAAAAAAAAAGAAGAGAGTACTGGTAAGGGCGAAATAAATTTCTCAATAACATAATCTTTCCTAAGTTACTAAATTTAAATTTTAGATTAAAATTTTGTCGGAATATAAATCATAGATTTGCGGAAGTCTGAGAACTTGAAATTCGCGTTCGAGTCTCCAAGAAGTCGAAATTCGAGTAATTCCTGCTTTAATCACATGAAAAAAATTTCAAATAAAATAAACCTTTTAAAAAAATATTTATACTCATAAGACAGGAAGACATTTAATATATGTTTATTTAAAAATTAAACAAATTGAATTCCCTAAATGAATTGGAACCATATAATTCGGCCATATTTCACCTATTCAAAACTGTCGATCACCGAAAAAGGTAGTTTACTCAGACAAAGCACATTACTGTATTTGATTGCATAACCTGATTTTCTGAACTCTTAAATAGCTATGCCACTTAAACAAATAAGATTGTTACTCACAAATTAAAATCAATTAAGAACACTTAAACTTAGAAGAGAAATTTTTTTCTCCATATTTTACTCTTGTTACACTTTAACGCAATCAGATCATTGAGTTTTAGCACAATAGTAATAGAATTCAATTCAGTATTTACATATTGATTAAGTCAGTCATGCGTTTTTGTCACAAGTGTCAGCATAAGCTATAGTAAACCATGAGGTTTGCAAGCTAAAATAAAATATTTAGTTACAGGATAATAACTTTTTGCTACTAGAATACTTTATATTTTTACAAATGTAATAATTTTGTTACATACACTTTTGATGTTTGTACAAATCCACTCATCAGAGCTATAATTGGAAAACTTGGTTGCATTATATCTTTTTTTGAGTAAATATTTTATTATAAACTCTTTCATTATACTTTAATTATTTTAAAATAAAAGAGAAATAGATACCCATTTTTCTTTAGCAGAAAATGTTTCTTCTTGCTCATTGAGATCAAATACTTTTCGTTCTAAAGTTAAAACAACCTAGAGACAAAAGAACTATTCAGAAGAAGATAATTAATAATTTATCTTTTATTCAATAAGAAAAAAATGCATAAATACACAATTAAAAAAAAAGACATTCCATTAATGGAAAATGAGCTAACTTTTGAGTTACTAATTGTTTCTATAAAATGTTCTGCGTTTTCATGCCTTTTATTTTCATATGCTCAGAAGCTTCAAAGAAACAAAGAAAAAAAGGCTTTTAACAAATAAAAACTTTAATTTTCAGATTGTAAAACTTTTTTAAAAAAAAAACACTTATGTAAAAGACAAACTTACACATTGAAAATGTTATAAGGAATGCAGCATTATGATAAATTTTATAATAGGTTAGTTTGCATACCATAGGCACAATTTTGGTTTCGAAATTCTTTTATACTAAATGTTTTAACTAAAACATTCCAATCCTTAGATATGAGTATAATACTAAAATGAATACAGCATAAGCATTGTATCAAAAAATATTTATTACTTTTTCTCCTTCTCCAGTTTCTTTGTACAAAATTTTTTCAATTTCTCCATTTTTGGCACTTTTAATATACACAGGTACTGTTTTTTTGGTGAGTTTCTAAATTAAAAACAAAACATGAATCAACTTTTAATGTATTCAGCATAATAAAACAAACTTAACAAAAAACACTATTTTTTCAGACAAATAAAATATTTGTTTTCATTGGATAAAAATTATTCTATTCACAGAATGTAGTTCATTCTTCTTAATTTTTTTTCTTTTTTTAGGAATACCAAACGTAAAAATATATATTTACCTGAACTATGCCTTTGGTATCGAGACGAAAATTGAAATCACCAAATATGAAAAATGGCACTTTTTCAAGAGAGTCAACAGAAAACCTAGAGAAATATTATTTCACTGGATTAAAAAAATTATCAATTATGTTAAATCAATTAACACATACAAATAAACATTACTTTTACATTCTAAATATATTTACTAAGATTTGTGAGTTTTAAGTGAACTTTTAAAAATTCACTTAATTTACAAACATTTATTTTATTATCATAACAATGCTGTAAAAGAAAAGTTCCAGAATTTTGACAATGTTCCAGAATTTTGATTTAACAAAACTTATGAATTAAACAGTAAATATTGGTATGATGTTAATATAGTTTGTTTCATTAATTAATACAACATTCAATCCCTACACTCTTTTAATTAATTAAACATTTAATTCCACAATGATTAAAAGACACTGCTTTAAATTGCTTTTTATTTCGAAATTTCACTACCTTTCCCAATGATAAACCCTGAAAAATTGGTCATGCCTTAGGCAAATTTATGTTCTCTAATTATCAGTTTCTTAATCAATTTCAAATCAACTTCAAATTTCTTAATCAATTTTAAAGCCACTAAGCTTTAAAAAAATAATTTCATCTACAAAAATTTTAAAAAAATGTGCGTAAAATACATTGTGGAAAGTTTTGTGAAAAAATTGGCTCTTAAAAACACTTAAACCGTTTATAATAATATAAAAGCAAATACAGTCAAACCTCGATATAAGTTCATCCGCATATAAAGTCACTTTTACAAAGACTCAGCTCACTGAATAGGAATTCTTTGTTACAGATATATGGTCAAGTTTTAAAAATCTTTATCGCTTATAAGGTCACTTTTATCTGAGGCGAGGGGAGTTCTTTTTAAACAAAAGCCTATTTAACTTCTTCACAAGGCAATTACCCTTCTCAAATTCTATGAAAATGTTGCAACCAACAAACAAGCTACATTTTCTGANTATAAGGTCACTTTTATCTGAGGCGAGGGGAGCTCTTTTCAAACAAAAGCCTATTTAACTTCTTCACAAGGCAATTACCCTTCTCAAATTCTATGAAAATGTTGCAACCAACAAACAAGCTACAATTTCTGAAATTGTTTCACAGTGAGGACAATGACAGTGATCCTGAGACTGTAGCTGTTTCCCAAGCAGAAGCTTTCAATGCAATAAATGTCATATGAAATATTTTTACAAACCATGAGGGAGCTGAGGAACATTTTGAGAAGTTACAAAATCTAGAAAACATCGTTCGAAAAATGAAACCAAAAACGAGACAGACCTGCATAAATGATTTATTTTAAATAAGGTAAGATGTAATGTATTCATGTATTTTTTGAGGAAATTTGTAAACAGCTTTATTTTAAATTAAAATTTTTTTAAAAATCTAACTTTCTTTAATTCTTTACTAATTCTCTTAAAATTTATTGACTTAAATATTTAATTTATGGCCAATAGTTTTCGTTTGTATCACCATTTGTAAAAAATCATAATGTGTATTATTTACGTGCTTAGTTACGAACTGCTAATGAATCAGTTAAAAGGTCACCCCGCTTATAAGGTCACTTTTGCGATGTCCTTATGGTGACCTTATATCGAGGTTTGACTGTACATGCATTATTTAATATTAAATTGGAATATTGCTGTTAAGATCTGTTACTTTAATCAAATAAGGAGATAAAATTATCAAGATTCAATAACAATAACAGCATTAGTACTTTTAAAAAAAAATGTTATTTAGATAGTTGATTCACTCACTGACCTATGCAAAGCATATCCTAAAGCACTTTGTCTGGTTTTACTGTACTTTGAGGGGCACTGCAACAAAAAGTTTATAATTTATTCATTTTTAAATAAAGTAAGAAACCAAAACAAAAACATCATGGACAAAACAGATAACATATTATACAGTAGAGAGCCATTTATCCGGAACCGGAAAACCAGGGAAAATTTTGCTTGGTTTTCCCGCTATTTTGAAGTAGAATGATTATAAAAAAAACAAACAGAAATTTGAGTAATCCTTGAAGTTGAATAGAGGAAAATGTGGGGAAAGGGGGAATTCTTCTCTCCACTTGCCCAGAGAAACTTCAATTCTTCCCCTAACCTTGAAGATCATTAGATCTAGAGGTGGCAGGGAAGGGACAAATGTTTTATTTTCTTCTGTGTGTGGGAAAGAATCCTTGTTTTCTGATAAGCTGACGTCAATCAAACTTAAAGGAGTGGTATGCTGATTTCGTTTTCTCCTTGATTTAGGAGGGGGTGGGAAAAATGCATTGCACAAGCATATCAATGAATGTCAGAGTTAAGGAATTTCAAACTTCTGGATAAGAGTATTGACATTTTAGATTTACTTTAAATCCACTTTAGTTACTCAGTTTTTGTTATCCTTGATTTATTATGATAAATTGTTTTAATATTTCGGATAATGCATTATTTATCAGGAACAAAACGTTTTTTTAAACACCAGTTATATTAATCTATTAGACATTGATTAACAAAACAATATATACATATATATATATATTTTTAATAAATTCTGATTTTTTTAGAAATGCGGTACTATTAGCAAGTTTTTCTTGATGTGGAATCACATCTGCTTTCGTTAAAAGTAGTCTTTTTATAAAAAATAAAAGGAGAAGATTGTTTATTAATTTAAGCATATAATTATTTGTTAATAAAAGCAGACGATTATTTTATGAAGCAGATAGCAGTTTTCTTTTTTTAATTTTGATTCCATTTTTCTGATTCTACTGCCTTTGAGTTTTTTTTTTCTTTGTAAGATAAATTTCGTACTCTATAAATTAATTCTTTATATTAATAAATTTTATCATTAAATTTTTTTTTTTTTTTTTTTTTAAATTCCATTGATCTTATAATATCCTGCTTTGTTCCAGGTTTTAATATTTATGTTAGTGCCTTTTTTAAACATCATTTCCATTTGACAATTTCAAGTGTTGTTTTTATTTAGATTAATTAATAAATTTATTTAGATTAGATTAACGTTTTAACTTTATCGTCCCCCCCCCCGTATAATTAGGTATGAAATATATTGCGTTTTTTAATTATTGGTTTTGTTAATTTGGGAATTTTAATTATTTTCAAAAAATAAATACGTGAATTTTGTATTTCTTAAATTTGTTTTTCTTGTCTAAACTTGCAAATGTTTTTGTCCTTTTAAATGTTACTTTTCTACCATTTTTTTTATTTAAGAGATCTTTTCGTTTCTTTCTTATTTTAAAATGTGTTTCACTTTTTCCATGTAATTTGGGCTTGATAAAACATTGATTAACGGCACTTTTGGCTGATCCAGAAAACCGGGATAACGATGGTCCCGAGCATCTTGGTAAATTGGTTCTCTACTGTATTTTGATTTTAAATCTAAAACAAAATGACATAATTTAAAACATAATGATGAGCTGTTTAATCAGTTTTAAATGAAATGCATATATAAAAGTAAAACTTAGATAAAATATTAACTAACCTCTTCCATAGCAACAAAATTAGACTCATCATGAAAAAGATGAATATTGACTAGATCAAAAGCTGTATAACCGATTCTCCATCTCGTTCTCATGAAGCCTTTCCTCGACCATTTACACTGCAATAAAAACTAAAATAATAATACTAAAACTATAAACTAATAAAAACTGCAAAACTAAAATAATAAAAATTTCTATAAATTACACTGTAATAAAAACTAATTATAATGCATCCTTTAAAAGAAATAATTCAATGACAAAAACAATTAAGAGAACCGAAGGGAAGAAATTGAAACTGATCAATACATTGTTCAGCAATAAGCATTATAAAAATAACTCTAAATTTAAACAAATTAAATGTAATATTGCACCAGAAAGTCATTTTAACATCAACTCTTTTAGAAAAATAATTATTTTCTTATTATTTATTTTACTTTTATAAAAAATTTGAAAATATCCTATTAATTAAGAGTTGCTCAGAGTATTCATACTTAACAGAATTAGTTGGTCATGATAAAAATAATAATATTTGTAATTGTGAACTCAATATATGATTTATAGTATACATGTTTAATAGGTTAACTGTTGATTTAGTATCATTTTGATTATGATATTTCAACATTATTTATCTAAAATAAAATGAAGAATTTGTGTGTATGTATGTTCTCCTCGTATGTCGTCTTCTTTAGCCTCCATTCCTAACATTTGCTTAAAATTTTCAATTAGATGGTTCAGGAGCGATATTTGAAAAGTTGAATTTTCTGATTGGTCTAGCATAAGCCATTGTTTTAAACTAAACTATAGATGGTTCTGTTTTTTTACCTAATATTTTAAAGATAACACCATTCATGTTTGATAGTTTATAGCTCTCCTCATTCAGAAAAGAAGTTTATTGCACGCTCTTTAACAAAAAATTTTTATTTGTTACATCAGATAAACTAAATTATCAATGTGAATGTCGTCGCAAGTGCGGTCTATGTCACCTAATTAGTATTCCTAAATTTAATAATGTAAGACATGTTTTAGTTTATAGTTATGCTTTTAAAATGTATTTTGAAACTAAATAATATAAAATCAACAGTAATTGAATTTAAAAAAACTGAGCTATATCTGAAAAGAAAGAATAATAAAGAGATAGTACTAATTCATTTAGGTGTAACTTAAAACAGTGTCATACTATAATTGATGCCATTGATGCTCAACAAATTTTGGTAAAATTTACTCAATTAAAAAATAAGCTTTGTATTAAAAAGCAAAACTATTTTAAGAAAATGGAAATACTTCATATAGGAGAAACATAAAATTGCCATACTATTATTGAAGAACTCTTCGTATTATTGTACTTGGTTTAGTTTCAAATTATATTAGTACATTTGACACATATTAAAACTACATCAATACTGTGCGGGTTTTTTTAATCGATACTGTGGAAAGAGTTTTTTTTTACATGTTACAAAATCTCAATTGAGGACAAATGATTTTATTTTTCAATCCAAACAAATTAGTGAAATTTCACTCAAATGTATTAGAGGTGTATTCTTTACAAATTTGTATGAAAATTTTAGCCTTCAGCTTCGTAAGTTGCTAAAAAATTACAGGTAAGCCTTCCAAGTTATAAAAATTGCAACTAAGAGTAATTATTTTGTGGAATAGTATTCTAAATTATTTCTTTTCCTAACTGCAGAATAACATAAAATAGCTTAAGAAATTAAAATAAATATTGAATATCTAAATAAAACAAATACAGTCATAAAAATAAACAAAAATTGCTTATATACATACTTCAGGAACTATTTCTGCAGTAAATTTTACTTTTTCTTTTGTTCCTATGTGTTCAATATTTCCATTATATATCTCCTTTCCAACGACTGGTACATATTTATGATCTGAAAGAAGAAAAAAAAGCTAAAATATCTGACAAAAATGAAGTTTTATCATTTTATTTCAAGACACATTGGTATAACAGAAACTTATCATACAGAAAGTTCTTAAAAAATTTAACATGCACAATAAGTTAGATTAAAATATCTACATATGTTCAACCATTACAGCATTATTAAAAAAATGAATTTGGTTATTTAAAGAGAATGCACCTCGAAAATCCCAAATCTGTACATCTTTCAAGCTATTGTGAACAAAATAGAGACTGCCAAGAGCCTATAAAGAAGAGGTTAAACATAAATTTTTTTGAGAAACAGATAATAAAATAAATATTACACAAAATTTTCCATATCACGAATATTTTAATTATTTTTGAGGAAGTCTCATACATTTTTTTTCTTTCAATTTTACTTTAGACAACATTTACTTCAAACAGATAAAATTTTAAAATATGAGGTTAAGTTTTCAAAGCAAAATTTAAACTTTACATTAATTTTTTTGCAGTTCTTTCTTTAAAACAATAATTTTTAATAAAAACAAAAGAGTATATTAAAAAATTTCAATCAACAATGACAATTATTTTTCTTTTTATAATTCAGATTAGGTTAATAATTAAGATAACCATGGCAAAATTTTTTTTTCACTTAGAGTTATAATCATAGGTAAAAAATGAGATGAGCATTATGGAATCTGCTAAATAGACACATTTCATTTCTAAAAAGGCAGAACATATGAAATACTAGCTGCTCTTGGAAGCTAAATTGCCCCTTCTCACAAACTCAGTAAGTCAACATGGACCCTGTTCGTATAACAATAATAAGTATTACTTTGCAGTAATAGATTTTAAAAAAATCAACAACAAAAAAATCTAAATAAATCTGATTATACTTATCACCACAACTATTTCAAAAGATGCAATCCAAATAAAAATTTATTATTAGCTACTAACTGTAAATTTCTCTCGACAATTGAAATCTTCATCCAAATATACTTTCATTTTACCAAAACTGCTCAACTCTTCACTCATCATAAGGGCCCTGTTAAAAAGGAAAGATTCAATTAGAAAAATTGTAAAAAAAACATTTATAGACTTTTAAACTACTTATTCTATAAACTTTTTACAGTTTACAAAGTTACACGCAATTTAGTTAAATCATACCAACACTATAATATGTCGAAATTAAATCTAGTAATATGAGTGAGTGTGTTAAAAAACCATAATCAAAAAATTAGCGAAAACAGAAATAGTTTCCTAAGAATTGAATTTTTAATGAACTTTTTCAAAATTAAATCTTTAATTTCATGATTAAAAAAATGCGTTATTTGAATTTTCTAAAAATAAATCATATTTTACACACACAAAAAAAGAGTATCTAAGTAATAGCAAACTAAAATATAATTTTCATAAAATTTAAACTATTACTCTTTATCCAACTTTGAGACACTATACTCAATTATAATATATGATGAAAAATTTCAATAAAAATATACTTAAATGTGCATGAATGGGAAAATAATTATGCATTACAAGTGAAAACCTCTTAAACTTTAATACTACCTTTTTATAAATATAAATAGCATGCACCAAAAATATTGCATAATTTTTTACAAAGTGTAAAATAAAAATTAGAACCCCATAAACTTTTTATGAAAAATATGGAGATTTTTTATATGCACAATTTTGTACTTAATGTACTTAGTGGTTCAAAAGTACTTAATGGTTCATAAATATCCTTATTAATAAGTGCAGATAATTAGATACAAAAATGATGTACTTCTTTTCAAACATGATTTTTTGCTGGCAGATACTGACTTTCGATTTTAGAATATAGAAAACCTCAACCTACTCCATGATAAAATGTTCAACTTTTTATATAGGTCACTAGACTACCAATTCGGGAGCCACCCATCTCTTCTGCAAAGGATCAAAATTGTGATGATCCTTCTCCAAATCATCCTCAGTGATGTTTTCCAGATCATCTTTGATAGCCTAAAGTGTGGCTTAAGAGCGACCTAAATTAAGTACTACTACTACTAAATCTAATTTAAACTCTGAGGGTGTCTCCTCTAACACAAAGGCAAGACTTGGCTTAGATTGTTTAGAGCAAATTTTACTAGAGAAAAGACACAAGAATATTTCGCAGCACCTTTCAATAATTTAAGTGTGCAACAAAAATAATTTGACATGTATTTATAAGAAGTTATCCATCTATTAAGAACAAAATACTTAGCAAAATATCAAAATAAGTAAACAAATTACATTTTAGAAAAAAAGATTATTTTGAAACCCTTTAAACTAAATAGTACTTACTACTCTCTATTACTTAAAGCTAAAAAATTAAAAAAGAAAAAAATGGATAAAAATTTTAAAAACACTTAACAATACTTAACTTTTTTATTAATAGATACTCACCGAATAAATTCTTGAACATTTTTAGATGAGTCTTTGTAATCTTTACCACCAACTTCTTGACAGTGAAGAGCCAAGAACTTTGGCTCTAGGCGCTTGATAACCTTGAAAAAGAGAAAACATAAGTTTAGGATAAAAAAAAATATTATAATAATAGCATAAAAAGACTGAGAAACCTAACCTTTAACAATTATCAATAAATTTTAATTTCAAATTTGGCAATATTTTTATTTTGAAAACTAATAAATCTGTCAAATAATTCTTATCACAATTGCTTCTTGAAGATCAACTTATGAACTATTACATACTCATGCACATCAAATATTAAAAGATATAAAAAAGTTTCATTATAACAATCAAAAATATGAGCAAAAAGCAAAAATTTATACAGAAAAGAATATTTTACCATTAAAAATTCCTTTAGCCATATTTCCAAAAGATTTTCGGGCTAGAAATAAACATACATTAACTGTTAATATATTATCAAAAATAAAAGCCAAAATATTAAGTAAAAAATGTTATATTTTATAAGTGTATGATGTAAATTATTACTAAAGAATATATAAGCATTTTTATGAATTAGCAATTATTATGAAGAAAAAAAAATGTTACTGCAATTAAATTGTTGTTAGTTAAAAATTTATATTTCATTTCATTTATATTTTATGATATAAATATCAAGTTGGAAGAGAAAAATTATACCAATGTCAAAGAATAAACACTGTTGAGAAATAATTTACAAAGACATAATTTAAATTTCATCTTTTTAAAAGTAAAAACAATAGAAATTAGTAATTTTCAATAGTTCAATACAATGTGAAGAAAACACATAAAAAAAAAAAACTTAAATCTGAAAAATTTTTCTTCGTTTCAATTTTAAAATACATAATAAAATATGTGAAATTTTATTTCATAAAAACGCAAAAAATTGCAATAAAAAATAGAAAAACAAATTAATGAAGAAAGAATAGATTAAATGATTTATACTTTTTTTCCAAAGAAAAAAAACTACACAATGATATTCAGTAGTTTGCGTGAACTCCAACTGACCAAATAATTAATTACAAAAAAAAGAGCTAACATATTTAATCCACTTAAAAACAATGACATTAATTGTTTCCCCCCCGTCAGTACAAAGAGAGCATTATTAAGAGGAAAAACAAAATCTAAACTAGAGAATTCTTTATGACATGGGGTATTAAAAATAGAAAAATAAAATTGGCAGGATCAATTTCTATGTAAGAGCAAAACATAAAACGAACAAATCAACTTTCATAATAAAATAATTTAAAAAGCTAGGAAAAATTTCAGAAAAACTGAGATAGGTAGTATAAAAAAAGTAGAATAATTTTTCTTTTAATTAGATGTTTAAATGCAAACGATTCTTTTTAATTCAAATAAAACTTACATCTTCAAAGATCGATCCAACGTTGGCAGACACAAGTAAGAAGGGCACTAGTTCTTCCATACTCAAAAGCAAAACCACTTGACGGTGTCTTCTACACCGTCCAATAAGTGAAATTAGTGCCCATAATGCTTGAAGTAGATACGCAAGTCGAAATTCCAAATCAAAAATCAATACGGCAAACGATCCATTTTGACAAACAATTGTACTTTTTAATTTTATTTCTATTTAACCACTCAATTCTTAATTAAATAAATATTTCAGACAGGAAAGCAGCAAATGTTGCCACAGAATGAGAATCATCTCAAAAAATACAAGGCCAAATGAAAAGTAGGAAACATGGATATTTTCGAACGGTTCCAAAAAGTGGACTTTCTGAACGAAAAATCTCCCGATCGGTTGATGCGCTGAATGCGAATGCGTTCCTCCGATAACTGAGAGACCATTCTTACTTAACGCGATAAAAGCATCGCCGTTCACTGTCCCATCTCCCAAAAGGTGTAGAAACGTGACGTTAAAGTGACGTCTTTTTTCTATCCCTAACTCGTTCGATGGTTGGGAAATAAGCTCTGAATAAGCTTCTGCTGATTGGGAAGTTATTTTTCGGAAGAAAATGTTTCACCGATCAGATTTTCATTGTACCATGACAGCGATTGGAAATGAATGACTAATATACAGTGGGAATAGCATTTGAAAAGTTCACACGGATCAATTTGTCTATTTCACATATAAGTCAAAGTCAATTTGACTATATAAAGTCAAATTACGACCATAAATCAAATAAGGATGAACGCTAAGTGTTATTCTGTAGTTCAATTATGCCTGGTTCACTTTTGTTGATGCCCAGATACTTCACAGATAATTATATTATAATAAACATTCTATCTACTGTTCATCCATTTGACGTCTAGGTATGTTATACCATTGAGTTTACTGGACGTCGTAGAAAGAACATGGGTGATAACTAAGCGTTTTTCTACGTAGAAAAACGGATGTTAATTATAAATGATCCGTGGTGGTTAAGATACAGATACCTCATAGATGACCATGGTAGATATAATTTGGATAAAATATGCGGAAGATGATGTGGGACGAGATGCCCGTTGATTTTAACTTAGCCAGAAAATAATTTTAATAACTGTTATTAAATTAGAAAATTATGTCATTAATATACTTTGAAATTATGACAATTTAATTTTAAAACATTTTTTGCAGAAACTTTTCGTATGAAAATTTTTGCATAAAAAGAAAATATTTTCGATTTTCGTCTTCTAAAATTTGTTTATAGCGTAACAAATGTCTTCTCAATTCAGCTTAAAAAAATTAACAAGACAAATGAAAACTATATTGAAAAATAAATAAAAAATGTAAAAAATAACTAACTTATTCAAAATTATCTTTTCATTTAAGTTTGAAAACTTAAAAGAATTCTTTAATTCTTATAAAGAAAAAAGGAGTTCATTGCACGTTCATTAATATCTAACTATTTTTCGTTCGAAATGCCAGATAAACTCAATGATCATCGTGAACGTAGTAGCATAGATGGACACGGACTACGTCAGCAAATTAGTATTTTTGAAATTATCTGAAACTAGTGTTTATTTTATTTAGAGTTATGCCTTTTTGTAGATTTTTCTATAATAAATAATTTAAAATCAATGATGTTAGACATGAAAAATAATAAGTAATTGTACTGAAAAGCAAAATTATTGGAGAAACTGTATAAGAGAAACGAGAAAAAAATCGCCATATTATTACTGAAGCCAATGAATGATGCTTGATTAATTACTGTAAACGGTACTAATTGAAATTAAAAAAAAACAGAAAACTAAATATCAAAGTAAATGGAGGAGTGGAGCACATTTATTTAAAAGACGCGTAAAAAAATCGCTGTATAATTATTGACGCCAATGCTTAGTTAATTTCGGTAACAGTTACTTAATGCAGTAAAAAAAAGTAAGCTATGTAGTAAATGGCGCTAATTCTTTTCAGAGAAACGTAAAAAATATCCATACGATTTTTGACGACAGTGATGCTCACCTAATTTTGGTAATAAGTTACGTAGTAAAATAAACTATTTACTCTCTTAAAGTAAAATAAATGTAAAAGAAATTGCAAATGTATAGGAATTTAAGAAAAATAAATAGTACTAATTCATTCAGGAGAAACATAAAAATTCGTCATGCTATTGCTGACAAAAATGTCGCTTAGTTAAATTTGGTATAGGGCACTACTGACATTATGGTAATAATTAGTGCAGTTTTAATAGGTACCAAAAATATTCAGCTAGTAAATAATAAACAAAATTTTTAAGTTTTATTTTTTTCCCATTTGAAATACATGGTAGATAACAATGATCACGAGATCTTAATACTCAGCAAAAAAGTAAAAATTAAGTAAAGTTTTTCTACCTAATGTTAAATATAATTTTCAAAAAAACAAAAAAAATCAAGAAGCGTTATTTTGTTTTCGGGCATTAAAAAAATAAAGAGTGCTTTTTTTTCCGTCAAAAAAAGAAGTTTTTCGATCTCAATTATTTTCATCAAAAGTGAAACTATTATACTTCTCCATTTTTCGTTTTTGGTTGTTTAAAAAAAAAAATTAAAAGTTTTCTTTAGCTAAAATAGCTCGTTTTTTTTTTTTTTTTTTTCCAAATATAGTGAAGTAGCAAAGTTCCCTGAACAAGTCTTTTTCCACCTAATTTTAAATATCATATTTTTCAAAGTTGAAAAAATTAAAAGATGGTTATTTTTAGTTTTAGCTTTAAAAAAAATTAAAATATTATTATTACAATATACTTAAGAATTTTTTTAAAAAAAATCTGGTTTTTATTTATTGTTATTAAATGAGAAATATTTAATTAACTATATTTTAATTACTATTGCTTTAGAAATTTTAGAATAGTTGTTTTCCATCGTCTTGGAATTCAGGTTTAAATGTTTCATTTTTGTTTTCTTCGTGTTTATCATGATTTTTTTAAAGATATTGTTTTAAAAAGACATTAAAGTGAAAAAAACATATTCTTTGAAATGCTTACAATTTTATAAAAAAGAAATTTATAACGGAGATCTTTGTTATTTCACTATAAAAAATTTTTCATATTTTAGATACTAACAATTTTTTAAGGGTGTAAAGAAAATGTAAAAAAAAGTTGAATCGTTTTTCAGTCGGATAAGAACGAACCCGTCAATATTTGTAATCAGCAGGAGTGAATTCGAAATTCTATTCGCGGTTTGGAAAAACACTTGAAGCACATAATGGGTTATAAGAATTAGGGCACGTTTTTTTCAAATCGATTTTTAAAACTTTCATCAGTATCGAAACTTTTACAAGTATCGCAGGACGTGTTTTTGAATTTAATCAAGCAAATGGAAAGAATATTGGGATTTCTATTTCCAGGACTAACGATAATTGGTAAAACACTTCTGAAAGGCAAAAACAAGTTTATATTTACTATTAATAATATGAGGCATTTACCTTGATTAATAATCTTTTGAATAAACTAAAAAACATCGAATAAGTATAAGTTTTGTGACCAAATAAGTAAAAAAAAGGCAAAATAAAATCAATAAATTTAAAAAATAAAAATAGTAACTGTATAGAGAATTTTTGTTTCAATTTATACAAAATCGGAAAAATTTGAATACTTATAAAAATGATTAAAAATGTTGTTCTCTTTATCGAAAGGGATTTTTTTTATTTACTTAAATCGTTTATTAAAATATAAATAAAATCACTGACCACATTCTATGCAGCTCAGGGAAATATAAATTTCTGAAAACCTAAAACTTGCAAGCTAGAATCTTAAAAACGTTTAAAAATAGTTAGCATAATGCATAACTAAATTAAATAATATCAGAGCCGTCGTTTGGCTAGACTTAGCGGAACCTCGGGCAAAAGATTTTGGAAGGCTTTTTAATCTTTTCCTGTAGAACCGTTCGCTCACCGTTAAGTTTTCTCCAAATTACTGAAATAAAACATAAATTTTTTTAATTATAATTTTTTTATTTTTAAATTAAAAATGTCTTTTATCTTATTTTTAAATTTATAATTTCGTTTAAGCTTTTATTTATGATTTATCAGGCTCAGAACTCATACAGAAAAAATAAGAAATTACAGGTTTAACGATTTTAATAATTTGTGTTGTGTTTAAATAATTAACTAAAAATGCTTAAAAACATTTCCTTTCCTAATTCTATGGTTTTGATTTTTTCTTGTACAAGTTCGAGTATTTAGTATTAAAAGTAATTTAAAAAAAAACTAAACTTAATAATTTAAATCTTCTTCTTCTTTATAAGCGCAACAGCCTTTCACAGGCCTTAACTCGCAGATTTTCCTCCATCTGGCCCTGTCTGGTGTGACGGCCCGCCATCGGTTGACTCCCAATAGCTTGAGGTCCTTTTCAACGTCGTCTATCCATCTTGTAGGTGGTCGTCCACTACGTCTCGTCCCTTCAATTGTGGAAAAAGTCACTTTTTTGGCAGGGACGGCATCAGAATTTCTGAAGAGGTGGCCCAGCCACCTAATGCGTGATGCTTTAATAGTTCTCACAATGTCGGTCCCACCGAATTTGTCATAAATTTTGTGGTTGTAAAGAATTTTCTTTACGTTATTCTCTTGAAGAGATCCAAAGATTTTCCTCAAAATTTTTCTTTCAAAAATTAGCAGTTTTTCCTCCTCTGTTTTGTAATAATTTAAATAATATTATTTAATATTACTTGCAGGAGTCTTAGAAATGTGGAGTTCCGGGAAAAATGCCCCGTTAGCCCCCACTCACGACGACTCTGTCAGTACTACAATTATAAGTCAAAAACTTTTTTGAATTGAAGAAAAATCTTTTTAAAAAAAAATCTTGTGAACTAATTAGTTTATTTTTTGATTGCGTGATTTTTAAATCTCGATATTTAATTTTAAAATCGCGTGAAGGCAGCGAATCACGAAGTTTGCATCTAAAGTCGCGTGAATACGAATTTCGATGTATAAATTTTAAGTCACTTGAACGCGAATCATAATAGCGGCTTTTACATCAAGTAGATACGAAACGCGAAATTCGATATAGAATCGAGAAAATACGAAACAGGATGCGTTATCTTAAATCGCGATGTGTGATTTTGCATAATGTGAACACGAATAAAGGGGGGGAAAAAAGAGAAGAAAATCTATAGTTTTATTTTATAATCTATATTATTTTATTTTATTATAACTAGCACGGGACACTTAAATATGTGAGAATGGGGCAAATGCCCCATTTGCCTCTGGTTGTGAAGAGCATTTTGTACCAAACAAGAACACGCATTTGGTTCAATATCATACTGAGGAGACCCAGTTATTCCCAAATAGTGGTAAGAAAGATGTAATGCATTT